ACATCCTGTGAATCGCTTCACCTACTATAGGCACCTTCACGACTGATGTTCTCTTTATTTGAGAGGCAGGGGAAATGATGGCCTTGGGAGGAGGCGTCCGGAAAAGAGGGCAGGCGAACACCTACCTGGCTGGCTAGGTAAAGGAGAAAATCCATTGATTTCAAGTCCAATTCTGGAACGTCTGATCAATACGGCCTATTAAGTTGACGCCAAAGAAGCCTTCAAAGTCATCTACCAGGCACCGGTACACTACTCTAGGGGCCCATTGAAACGGCTACTAGCGACAGCCGAGGTAGTGTGCTGTGCTTTGGAGTCAGTTTGAGGGTGTGTGTGGCACGCGTAGACGGGCTCCCTTAATCTGTCAGCCACTGCGCCCAATCTCAGCACCAGTTGGTTGACTGGCTGTATCAGACATCGCGCCCGACACCGGCGTCGTTCAGTGGACTGACTTGGGTAATCGTCTGGTGCACAGCAGAGGGAGGGTGCGAGTGAGATCGACTGTCCCAGCGTATATTCCCCACTAATAAATAATCCAGTGCACTTGAATCCCCCACTGTGCGCTGAAAGTCGTGGGTTGGTTTGTCGACAAACTACGGAATAACCCTGCCTTCGCTTCATGGCAGAGAGCCCAGCCTTCAGTGGCCTCATCTTAATGTCCCTTTTACGACACTCCCACTCACTTGGGAAGTGAGCTGTACCGTTGTTGTTTGCATGAAAAGTCACTCCTTTGTGCGCAGACAAGGTGCGTGTGGCACACGTAAACTGGCGTCTAGGTGCGGCAAGCAATTCGCCCGATTCTGCCTTCGGTCTTCTTGGCTCTTTCTTGACACCGGACTCATGCAGATGAGGGAAGAGGCAGTGCGTTCGGTGCAGCACAACCATAATGTCACCATAAACTAATTCACATGCTGGTTACCGTCCCTGCATGCTGTGGGGCGCACGGTGGACATCGTCGGCAACGGCAGTCGAAATGCCGACCTCCTTGAGCACCAGACAGCATCCCAGCCACGAAGGCAACATGTAACACCTTACAGAGCCGTGATGTTCACTCCGTCACAGAATATTTCACTCCCTGACCTCTAGATCCGGACTCGTCCTCCAACTCCTCTCACTCAAAATCGTGACTAGTCAGTCCAGATGACTTTGGTTCGTTGGAGAGAACGTCAAATACACCGTCTCTTGGCCTAATCAAACCGGACTCCACTTAATCATTGCACTTTAATCGGTTTATTTCCCCGAACCATATCTACCCAAAACCCTGTCCACCGTACGAACAGATACTACAAAGGCACTCTTACCTTAAACGGAGGAAAAAAACGAACAGATTATAACATGCGCACCATTACGGCCGCCTGTGGTCGGACACTGCTACCATCGCTGGACAACAGCTACTCAGACTCCGCTAATAATCATCGGCCGTCCTATGTTGTCCCCGCCATCGTGCAACAACGTCTCCGTGTTCACCCACAGGCAATTGACTATCCACTTTTTGTTGACCTGCCTTCCGCATTGCAGGCGCCTGTTTTCCCTTGCCGGATGAAATGATGAGTCCGAAAGAATTGTCGTGCAACGGAGAAAACTCGGACTGGCGCAGCAGTAGGTCACTAACATGTCTACCCACCTCCTGATATGTGACAAGTGCGCTTTAGAAATAGACTTGTGCGACTCCAACTCCAAGGGGAGTGAAAAGGCGAGTGACGGCTTGCGAGACATTGTTCCCGTACAAGAGAGCTCGCAAAATTTTGGGGCTGGTTGGATTTTGTCTCTCGTCTCGTTTGCGCATGCACCGGTTGACGAAGTTGCGCGGGTAACCATTTTCTCTGAAAACCCGTCGGAGATATTGGATATTGGCAACCTTGTTTTCCGGTTCACTGCAGTGTGTCTCAACACGCCGACCTAGCGTCCTTACGCAACTGCGTTTATGGCTGATTGGGTGTTGGGAATGCCTAAACTCCCAAAAATAAAGGCCAACCAATCACTGGAGAGCACGTGCGTTTGCTCTCTCTACAGCGCTGTCATCTTAATCGTGGCGCCTCTCAATTGGCTACTCCCCTCTTTCCGAAGGGCATTGGGTCGAATGCGGACCAACCAAAGTAGGGTGTTATAAATATGCATCACCTTTCAGCTAGTCGCGACTTGCGGGTTTTCTAATACACTTTCTATGGCCGGCTGTGTTTTCTGTCTGCCGCCTTGGTATTAGGGACAAGGGTCGAGTGCGTATACGCACTTCCTGCTAATTTAACAAACTATTCAGAAAAACTAACTGTTGATCCTTCGACGTATTTGGCGGGTATATCTTGTGGTGGGAGGGGAATGACTGGAGGGTTTTTAGCGCATTTGTGCACAGCTTTGTGTCAGCAGGGTATGGGCTCTGTGCCAGAAAGGTGATTGCACGAAACGAGTACAGGCGCCACTTCTTCCTGGCACCGTGCTAGATATACGTGTCCATCCACGTTAGTTGTGTGCCGGCTTACCAGCATGACTTTGCTAGCACGGTGCTAGATGCATGCCAGGCTATACATCAAAACGCACACCACCCATACCCCCATTCTATATGGATCATAGCATCATTCACACTTTAAAGCTTATTTAAAACAAATATTATCACGTGCGTCCGGAGGGCAGCGGATGACTTGCCCTCCCAACAGTGCTCCCCGACGA